TTACAGGAGATTAAAGTGATTGTCTCATTTAATCTTACAGGAGTCCTGGTATTGGGGTTGCTTTTGGTTCGCTAAGATCTTGTRTTTAAACTGCTCTCTCTTCTCACCTAACAGAAGATATTAGAAATTAAGGTGTGGGTACTAGTCAAAAATCCAGAGAGAAAGCAGATCCATCATCTGTTTCAGTCCTGGCAAAAGAGTATTTTGCTGCTCTGACTTCTGTGTGGGTGGAAATCCTGGTTTTACTTRCTTTGGAATACTAAATAATTGAATGTCAATAGGGAGCTTTGTGTTTTAATTTTGTTCCTACTTATACATTCACATTGAACTCCTTAGTGGATTGCAAAGTTCAGCATAAATCAGTTTCCCATTTGTGTCGTGTAATCTGACTGCCATACCTTCTTCACAGAAGGATGTTATTGGAGGCTTCATTTATCTAGTTTTGTTTAAAATGTCAGGCAGTGAATGAAAACACATTTTGCTTTAAAAATGAGCCCATCTTTTGTCTGAATATGCTCTCTTTCMTCCCCATAAGAGGGGCAAACCTTTAAATTGAAGAGCGTTGACTCTGCAAAAGAATTGCTGACTGTAATGGATGACTTTGCTTGGAACTGAAATCTCTTCCGGGTTATGATGTTTGGCCAGCTAAAACCAGTATTCATCCCAATTAGCTGATCATTGTGGCTTTAGTCACATCCTGTGCACCTTGGCAACAGGAAGTTATGGGTGTGGTTGAAGTCTTCAATCTCATTGAAATATCTTTATGGTAACTACAAATAACTATTTCTTGGTTACAGTGGATGCTTCTCATTACACACTTTACTAGACAGTGTGATGGGCTGCAGGTGTGAGCTCTGGTCTGCCAAGAATGACACATTACCATCTGCAACCATGACTTTGGAGCTGTGTTGTTTAATTAAAATAATGGTTGTATTTCCCTTACTGAGTTAGTGGTAATCTTTTGATGAGTACTTCCTAGTGCTGCTTCAAGCACTGATTTACAATTCTGCACAGACACAAGTTTGGGTCTTATTTTCTTTTATGTTCCCCAGAATTTTTCAGGGTAGATAATTGGGCTGAGTTGTCAGAGCTTGTGTTAGAATGTAGGGACCTAAKAAGGGGTCAGAGTAATTAAGAAGTACCTGGTATATTCTGGAAACACAGAGGAATTCGGGTACAGATTAATTCAGAGAATTTTGCCAAAATGGACCACTGGAAATTACTTCTGTGAGATAAGGTTGATGATGTATGCTGCTCACGAGGGAAACTTGCTTATCGTCACCACAGAGTGAGTTGAGGAAGTAAAATGGATGGATTGTGGCTTTTATGGCACTTGACTCTGAGCCTTAATTTGTGTCATATAGGATAAAAATGCATGGAGGGAGCAGGGAAATAAGAGATACGTCTACATGCATACAACCTGTGTATCTCATGAAATAAACAGAGGATCTGAAAATCATATGGTAGTAACTTTAATAATTATCTTTTCAGAATTCTTAACCATGGCAGTTCGTATATTTGACTTTTGTACTGTCTTAAAGCAATGAAGCTGATCTTTGTGTTTTAAGAACAGCGTTGTGCAGAGATGTGCTTTGTAAACAGAGGCACCAAAGCAGCTTGGTACTGTTCAGCTGAGCCTTTAGATGATGTGCAGCAGGCGCATCATCTAAAAATGGTTCARTTCTTAAGCACTAGATTGCGTTTTTATGCAGTGCTACTCTTTACTATAAAGTGAAAACTGGTTGTTTTCTTGTATGTTGAAGTCAAAATTGGTTTTATTCTTGTTGAGTTTTGTGATTATGCAAGCTTTCTCTTTATAGTGAAATAACTGAGTAAGCCAGTATCRAGTCAGAATGAATTCCAGTCAGTATGACTAAGCTGAAATGTATTTGATATGTGCTTATTGTTTGAACTTTGAGATTGTTCTGAGTAAAATGTGGCTTTCCTCCTCAGCAGTAGTGTTTGATAGGATTGCAGTTGGTGGTTCTTATACTTTTCTTGTGTAACTGTCTCCCACACTTGTGTGTTTTTTGTGTTAGACTAATTGGCTGTAAAATTRGCATTTATCAACTTGAAGTAGTGTGTTCTTTATTTTGTATGTGTTTGCACTTTGTTTTGAAATCTGAGAGTGTGGTGCTGAAAAAATATTTGAACTGATTCAGAGGCAGAGTTTTACAGCTGTTGTGTATAGTAGGTTGTTAATAACAAGTTTTTGCTCAAGGTAAGTACCCCACACCAAAGAAGTTTGACTTGTGGTGRTGTTCTACTACATTAAATATTAATTGTTAGAGGTGTAGAGAAGTTCAGGGCTGTCCTAATGTAAGAATTGTTGAGAACTGAAAAATGGTGGAGATTCAAAATAATTAATAAGTGCTTCAGGAAATTGTGTCTGAATTGTATGATTGTTTATCTTGTTGATAGACAGTGAAGCCTGGAGGTTTCAAAATGCTGATGTCAAAATACTGCAATGTTGCACTGTTGTGCCACATCCTTTGTGGCAATGGKTCACTGGATTTTTGAGGTTCAAGAGGTGGGGTGTGTGTGTGTCTTTCCTAGTTCTCCTTTGTCAGATGGTTGGATCAAGGAGTTTTCTGCTTTCTACTGTGAAGATGCTGAAGAGTGCTTTGCTGCTTGTTCTCCATGGGGAAGTGTAGGAGAGCTGCTGGTGGGAAGTTCCATTTGTAGGAAGAGAGGGTGGGTGGGAGAGGGAGTTGTGTGATATGTCTGAGTAAGCAGCACCGTCATGGATCTCGCTAAAAGAATCAATAAAAAGAGGGAGTGGAACTAGGTGAAGTTGCACAGGGGTTTGTGATCCAGTACAAGGTCAGGGGCACAAATATGGAGGAGTAATATTAATGATTGCTTACCTTTGTGAAATTGTAGTATTAAGTGTACTGGTGGTCTTACCAACTTGTGTTGTATTGTGTTACAGTATATTAAAAGTCTTCCTTTTTTTAATTGCTTTACCCTTTTCTAGAAATTCATTTAATGTGGAAGTTGGAATATAGTAGGTAGACCATTTGGTGGCTTGTTCTCAGAATGTTGTATTTTCTACTTCAGCTCTGCTGAAGCTCTTTTGCAGAGGCAAGTGGAGTGTTCAAGCACTTCAGTGTGTGCTACTTCTGATGCTATGGGACACAAAACTGTAAATGAACTAAGTGGTTCATAACCACGAAACTGTGTTTAGGAACATGGAAATGTTGGAATCCCTGYACCAGCATTCCTCCACTGCAGGATTTAAACGGAGATTGCTGTTTTGCAAGTTGACCTGGAACAGTCTTTTTCCATCAGAGTAGCTGTCTGACTTCTCTACGTGTTTTGGTCATGTGCGTATCTGAGTGATTTAATATTTCAGAAACTGAAGAAGCAACCACTCTATTGCTGAGGACTCTGCCATTCTCAGTCAGCACAAATGCTCCATACCTTTGATGAAAAATGAATGCTGCATTCTTTGTGCAGTGYTTCAAGTGTGTTAAGAAAATCCAGTGGTAGAAACATTGTGATTTAAGAGTAGATTTTTTTGTATCAGTGCTGTAAGTATCGGTGACCTTCTCTTTCAAAAGGAGAATTAAGCTGGCTAATGCTTCTGAGTGTAAGYGAGTATTAGAAGAGGCTAAGGCTGTTAAAACACCTTCAAAACATCCGGTGAGTGTCACTGCATTAAAATTAACTTAAGTCAGGCCATCTTAAAATAAATCTGCACTTTTAGCATCGACCACAAGCCAGCAATGACCTATCTTTAGTACTAGGCRCAGCACAAGTGGAAACTATTAAATGAGACTGACATTTGATGTAAATATGTCTGCAGAGTGATTTTGGTCCGTGCTCTTGTTGTAACATCTAAAGCTTTTTGTTGTGCAGGGTGTTTAATTACAGTGTCTAATCATGGTGTATTTTTGCGTTTCTTTGCAGTGTTTAATGAAACAGTGAATGTCACTAATTCCCATCWTTAAACTTGTACTGCTTCTGCTTGAAGTGGTGACTGTAGTGGTCAGCCAGGATGATGTGWGGGACAGTGAAATCACTTTTGGATGGGAGTGTCAGTCACTTGTAGACAGCTTGGGTTATGGTATAGAATAGAGTTTTTATGTATTCTCTTGTCATTCAGGTAATGAGGTGAAAAAGGATTCTTTTTGAATAGGAGCATTGACATTTGAAAAACAGGGAAATCTTTGTAGATGGCAACTAGTAAATGTGTTACTATTTATATTTCTAATACCTTCTTGATTTAGAAAATTGTTGTGGCATGTGTCTGGTGACTGTTCTGAGAACAAACAGTAACAACTGTCTTGTGTTATTTCAAAATTACCTTCCTGGTGCTATATTTAGCATATGCTTCTTCATACAAATATCCTTTGTCTACAACTTTTATATACACTTAAAAAAAAAAAAAAAAGATCCCAGCTTTGGTTTATAAAGACACAACTTGATGTTGTTAGTCTGTGTTTAATGACAGAACTTGTTGAGAAACAGAGCAGGTCATTACCTGTGGAAGCTACTTGCTGTTACCATTGGATGTTTGTTCTCATTCTGCTTYATGTAGCACTCCCTGCCTTGCGGGTGGGTCGAAGATGTTTGTACAGATGGGTGGCAAGGTATTGGTAGTGCTTTGGCCATGTCTGAGTTTGGGCTTTTGGAGGTAAGATGTTGGCAGGATTTTCAGATTTAATTTTTCCAAATACTTCTAAAACTTTTTAAATTCCAGTTATGATGATCACTGTTTTATGCTTCACAGAATCATTTTGTAGAAAGTCTGAAGTTCTACTTTCCTCAGGGAGGAAAAGAAGCTACCCAACTACTAATTACTAATATGAAGTTTCATAAAGTGAAATGCTGTTTTAAGTAAAGATAAACTTTTACCTCAAGTGCTTCAGAGAAGGCAGAGACAAGAGCTCCTAAACAGAGCAGGTAGCAGAGAGGTGGAAGTGATAGAGCAGACTTTGAATAAAGTGGCTGTTCTTAGGTAAACTCTCAATTTATGTGGTGTTTTTGTTTTATAGGCTAAAGAAATTTTGACAAAAGAATCCAACGTACAAGAAGTGCGATGTCCAGTCACAGTCTGTGGAGATGTCCATGGACAATTTCACGACCTCATGGAACTTTTCAGAATTGGAGGCAAATCACCAGACACAAACTATTTGTTTATGGGGGACTATGTTGACAGAGGATATTATTCAGTYGAAACCGTCACATTGCTTGTAGCTCTTAAGGTAACTTTCTTTCTCATGTGTACATTTTGGTATAAAATGTATAATTTTCAYTGCATTGGTATTAGAGGTACCAAAACTGACTTCTTGGCTTAGTTTTCTAAGTCACTTTGTAAAAATAATTCATGTTCATATGCTAGCCTGAGCCTTACCTAAAATGAGTGCTGAGCTTATGTTTTTTACTTTCCGAAGTACCAATCTTTACGATTGTCTCTCTGACTGGAGAAATCAGCTTTAATGCATAGGTGTAGTGAAGTCCACTAATAATAATAAGTACAACTTGTAATTAATTACATCTCAAAAGTATGTGGCAGTTGAAGATTTGAATAAATCATTCCTTTTTTTCCCCTCAAAGGTTATAATTGAGCCTTCAAAAGGGTTTGGTTTTAATTGCTTTATTGATGTGTGACAGGGGTTGAGGAGGGCAAATTCTGTTCTGGGGAAGAGTTACTCATTGATGCCTCTAAAATAAACTGTTCTGTTTAGGTCCGTTACCGTGAACGTATCACAATTCTTCGAGGGAACCATGAAAGCAGGCAAATCACACAAGTTTATGGTTTCTATGATGAATGTTTAAGGAAATACGGAAATGCAAATGTTTGGAAATACTTTACAGACCTTTTTGATTACCTGCCTCTAACTGCCTTGGTGGATGGCCAGGTATGTTGACATTTGACAAAGTTAAATCTTTTTGGTTGTCAAGAGAGCTGTTAATACTGCATTCTGTCAGCTCTCATCTTGAAAGGAATCTCATGCAGATTTTCTCCTAGTCATTTATTCTAAGCCATTCTAACTGCATTGATTAATGTGAATAAACTTCATGTATCCTACATCTTGCAGATTTTCTGTCTACATGGTGGCCTCTCTCCATCGATAGATACACTGGATCACATCAGAGCACTTGATCGCTTGCAGGAAGTTCCCCATGAGGTACTGAAAAATAATTTCCTAAACCACTGAGATTTATGATCCAGCATGTWTTGGGGGATTGAGTTCACAGGCTGAAAATAAAATTCAAATTAACKTAGCAGTATTAAAGTGCCTGTTTTACGGTTGCGGTTTTTTGAAGGAAAAGTGAGGGACATCTCCTTGCTTAAAGGAAGAAACCTGTTAAGTCTCAAGGAGTTGTRCAGGGGTGGTGTGTGTGTAAGTTTTTTGTGGTTTTATTTGGTTTGGTTTTCTGCACTTCACCTCTGAAACATCACCTGCATCTCTTACAGGGTCCAATGTGTGACTTGCTATGGTCAGATCCAGATGATCGCGGTGGCTGGGGAATTTCTCCTCGAGGTGCAGGTTACACATTTGGACAGGATATTTCAGAAACCTTTAACCATGCTAATGGCCTTACGTTGGTTTCAAGAGCTCATCAGTTGGTAATGGAGGTGAGCAGGACAGCCTGTGTGTTTCARCTTTGGATTGTGTGCTTGGTTCATTAATTCTGTGCTCTGTGTGTCAGGGATGTGCATAGGCTGCTGTGACAGTTGATGATCCAGCTGAGAGTCTTCCAGAAACCTGACCTTGACAGTATTTACATGCTACTAGAGGAATTTCTCAGTTTGGTAGTGGAGTAATCTTCATTTTGGCCTTGTTTTCCTGAAAATTTACAGTGATATCCCAAAACAGGCTTTGGTARTAGATGTGGCGTTGCATTTCTGTGTAGACAAAAAAGTTATTAAATATGTGTTCCTTGTAAAAAAGGTGTGTTTTTTCTTTTTTCGCTTGAATATGTGCTTTTGTTCTCGGCCTCTGCTTATTCCTGACACTTCAGATTTTTAAATGTGTGTCTGGATTCTGGTTTTGGTAATCACAATTGAAGGTTCAGAGTGGATTGTGTACTTCCGAATTACTGTTTTAACTATGCTAATGCGACAAAGGAATCTTGCTAGGTGGTTTGTTTCTTGTTTGTTTTTTTTAAAATATCTAGCTCATATTTACTAGTAGGAAGCAATCTATAAAGGCYAAAATTCCTTTTTACCCTTTTTCTCTCCAGAAAAGAAAAAAGACACAGCCTTAAGCTTACTTAAAATGACCCTACAAATGCCTCTTAGGCATGTGTGCATTAAAAGTTTGTAGTCAGGTGATTACATGGGGTAATGAACTTGGTTGTCATCATTATTTTTTCCTTCCTCTCCAGGGGTACAACTGGTGCCATGATCGGAATGTAGTAACAATTTTCAGTGCTCCAAACTATTGTTACCGTTGTGGCAACCAGGCTGCAATTATGGAACTTGATGATACTCTAAAATACTCCTTGTAAGTATGCTTAAAAAGTAGATTTGCCCATGATTTTAAGATAGTTGTGGTACCAAGATATCACTATGATACGGGGGTTTTTCTCTCTCTATGCTTTTGGGAGGTGGAGCAGCTGTGGAATTGTTGGGTTAGTTACACTTAAAGTCTTGGAGTCAAGCTTATGGAACAGCTGCTGTTGAGATCTTCTCTGTCAGACTGAAGTGACACTCCTCATTTTTGTTTTGTATAATGACCTGGAGTTTCATGATTACTGTGTAGGGATGTGATTTGAGAGCAGGAGTAGTGTGTCACATCTAAGGTAATGCCCTCCTGTCAGTCTCATGCAAGAGACACTTGGAATCTTCAAATTCTTCAGAGATTGGGATGTCAGCTTTTTGAATGAGATTTCTAATTAACTACTGCAGCAGCAACTTCAGTAGTAAAGGAGGCAGAAGCACTGTGTAAACTGCCCTCCTTGATAATAACTGAAGACTTTATAAGTAGATACTAATGTTTGACCAGTTTGAGTCTTAAAGTTAAAATTAATTTCTCTCTAGACCTTTTTGTTAAGAGGAATTTAAAATGTGATGGTTTTAAGTACATACAGGAGAGGAAGAGCTTTCATGCTTACTGTAGAATACTTAACTTGGTTAGTAAAACTGGCAAAGACTCACCTGTTAAAGCACTACTCTTGTAATTTAGGGCTAGAACRTAACTGAATGTAAGCTGAGCTCTTGTGTTTTCACTGATGTCTGTGCTGTTCAGTTTGCAGTTCGACCCGGCACCACGTAGAGGGGAACCACATGTTACTCGTCGCACCCCAGACTACTTCCTGTAAAGAGATTTTAGACCTGTACAGTATTGCCATGAACCATATGTTGACCTAAAGAAAATGGGAAGAGCAACAGTAACTCCAAAGTGTCAGAAAATATTTAACATTCAAACTTTGTTTTCACATGGACCAAAAGATGTGCCATATTCAATACAAAGCCTCTTGTCGTCAACAACTGTGACCACTTTAGAATGCACCAGTTCATTGCATGCTGAAGCAACATTGTTGGTCAAGAAACCAGTTTCTGGCATAGCGCTATTTGTAGTTACTTTTGCTTTCTCTGAGAGACTGCAAATAATAAGATGTAGACATTAACACCTCGTGAATACATTTAACTTTCCATTTAGCTATAGCTTTATTCAGCATGACTGTAGATAAGGGTAGCAGCAAACAATCATTGAAGCTTAAAGAACATTTTTAAAATAAGTACCAAGGCCTCATATTTGTTCTGAAACTGTTTGTTTGTTTTATTTTCAGGGAATACTGTTTAATTTAATTGTATTGATTTTTTTTTTTGTCTGCACTCAGTTCCCTTTCCCACTCTGCCCTACCATATTGTCCCTTGTAATTGTCCAAGGATAGTGAATTACTTTGAACAGAACTGTTTTTTTCTGTAAAACAATGTTACTGCAGGACAGAGCTGCAGTGTTTTTCATAATAAACTTGTGAACTAAGTATGGAAAWATGTCAAAATTCTAATTGCATCTCAGGTCAACTGTGGTTTAATAAACTAACATGTAGCTGGATGGGTTTTATAAACTTGCATAGAAATTTCCACCTTATAAATAACTAAAACTGAGGTGATTTGAAGTGTGCTGGAAAACTCTGACCTTTTGAATCCTGTCCCAGGAAGGTGCCTGGGCCTGTGTCTCACAGCTGAGAACAGCTCACTGCTTACTCACATGTTGCTCTTTCCCTCTTGGTGCTCTACTGAAATACTCAGAAATGGAAGAATATAGGATCACCTACTTGATTGCGTGTGGCTTTATTTCAAGTGTAAATCTAAGTTTGAGTCATTTACAATGTAGGTGCTAATACTTAAAATAATTTTTCTGAAAAACTAAGAATAAAATCAGTTTTCTAAATATTAAAGGAAACAACTTGAAGTTTAGTACTACGTGTATTTGCCCAAGCTTCCATTCTGAAAAATGGTGGTATGTGGTCTATGTTAATTTCTGTTTTTCTTTTCTACTAATATGTTTCAAAATTTGAACCCCGATGTGATGATTTGGTTCAAAACAGAAATTCAGATGTTATGCCTTCTTAAGGCTTGTGCTTGAAACTTCTTGGGCACATCCAAATGCTGTGCCTGTCGACTTAATAGGAGGACTCTTAGTATTTGTATTGTTTGAGACTTTAAATTTCTTGGGCAACTGTAGATACTGCAATAACATGGARGTTTGTTTTTTACACTGCTTATTTCTAAGGGAACGCATATAAATTTTGCAACTGTCCAACTCATCTGGACTGTTGGTCCTATCCTAGACAGGCTTTTTGGGGCTTTTTTGCTTTTCTGAAAAGCTGGAGGACCACTTGCTTATTTAACTTGCAAAGAAGATGGTGCATGTCACCAAGCATTACTTCATCCCCTTTTAGAAGGGCTCAAGTGGTTGCTTTTCCTTCAGCAAAATTTGAGTTTTGTCCTGTAAGTAGGGTTCCAAATGGCTTCTAGCGAGCTCATTCTGCTGCAGGAACAAGTGCATGCTCAAAATAAGTGCATCTGAAGTGGCTTTTTTTAGTATATTGGGAACTTTTGCTTTGATCACTATTAAAAAAATCCTGTGCTGAGGAGARTAGTTTGCGTTCCATTCCTGTCGCTTGTCTGTGTGTTTGTGTAGATGGAACTTTGTGCTTTCATTGACACCATTCCTTCAAGAGGAATGACTTTGCCCTATTTCCTGCTTTCCTGGTTGCTTTAATTGGTGTGACTCATCTGCTCTGGCAGGGAGCAGTCCTTTCCTTGCTTCAGTTTCTGTACACAGATCCAAGTGATTGTTAGTAAAGTCCATGGACAGTGTTGGAGTCACTCCAGTTCTTGTGTTTTCCTCCATAATTATGTTGTGATGGTCCGTGTGAAGATTGCAGTGAGAAAACCRCGTTGAGAAGAAAAAAATGGTTACCCTGATGAAGCACTAGCCAGCTAAAAGCATGTTTGGAAGATGCAAGAGAAGAAACAAAGCTTTAAACATAAATAAKTGGGGTTTGATTTATTGGTAGCTGGATGATTAGGTTACCTGCACAAGGCTCCCTTTACTTTCAGCCCATGAGCACGGTGGCTGCAGRGAAATGAGCATGGTTTGGAGATCACTGGTGATGTTTCCTCTGTCTCTACACTGACTGCTGCTTTCCATGAAATGCAGGATAGGCATACTAGAATCTCATAGTGTGATGGCTCAGTGTTGAAGTGGGAATGTCACATCCAGTTCTTAGCAGGGAGGGCTGACACTGGGGTTTAGATTATCAGAAGGCAGTTGGGAACAAAATGACACTTTTCCATGAACTGCTGTTTCTCTTTTTTATTCTTTCTCAGACCTTGCCTGAGCCAGGAACCTCCTGATKCACAAAGTGGGGAGGGTTTTGGGCTTTCCATACTTCATTTTGCAGAAGTCATTTGCCACATTGTATCAAAGTGAGCACTGCACTCATGCAGGCCTGTCCTGAACCAAGGGCCCACTAAAYAAAAAACGAGATTAAATGCATATTATATACACACACAGGTGTATGGATTTGCCAGATTTTTGTCCCCCATCGCCCTCTTTCTACACCTTTGTTTTGTCTCTTTCCACCCTGTGCTTTGTTCCTCTGTTTATGGCCCCTTCTCCACCAAGCCCTGGAGCTTGGGGCTGGCTGTTGCCCCAATCCCTGCTCYGCTTGTGATGGAGCTACCTCTGTAGATGGATGTTTTTCCAAGGTAACCAATGTGTGTGCCTGTCACCCATGCTCATTTTGGATTGTTTCTAGCAGCTGACAATTCCATACRCACTCAGTATCCCTGCTGTGAGTGCTTGAGCAATATTACTTGGTTTAGGTCTAATGATAATACCCTGGCAAGATACTGGATGCATGGGAGAGTGCAGACAGAGCATTACCTCCTTCCCCATCTGTCTGGATGGTAACAAATCCTGCCCTGCAAAGAAGGTGGTGAGGACATCCTGCCAGTGGAAGCTTGACATTTCACCTACCTCTGTCTTGATCTGGTTGCTGTCAAAAGTSCACCTGGAAACAGAAGCTCCTGAGAGGTGCCAATAGCTGTCAATCCATGTTCCATGGGAGGGGATTTTTAAAATATTTTATAGCAGTAAACCGAAACTGAAAAGTCCTTTTCAGAAAGCAATTGTGTATTTACAGCATTGGGACAAAGTCTTTGCTCTGACAATTTAAAAATTCAGCCTGAATCTTAAAGGATTTCTTCCTGTACAAGACAAAACCAAACCTGTTGTGCAAGTGCTGGGTTTATTTTGGGCCTTTTTCATAGTTCAATAAACACATTCTTTTCCCCTTCTCACCTCTTTGTTTCCTTAGTAATACTGGAGTGCAGTTCCTGCTCTTGGACCTGTGACCTTGGGAGGAGGATGAAGGATAAATACTCTTGTTTGTTCAGGAAAAATGGTCTGTAAAGAGATGCAAGTGTGATCAGGGTTTTGAATTTCAAATTAAATGCTGCCCCAAATTCAGTGAATTGAAGGTGTGCCTCCACTCTAATCACCTCCTTATGCACCTGTTCCACACTCATTTACCGCTCTAATTGCTGCTTGTTTTGTCTGGATGCARAGCACTCCTAGAAACTTCTGTTGTGTTTTAGGGGTTGTGGAGGTTAGAGCAAAATTTACCCAAGAAATGGCTTTTTATGTGTTCCATGTTTTTTGCAACCATATTCATGATTTGTATAAACTCAGAGTTTTGGAGCAAAATGTCTGCAAGCAGTGATTTTTGAAGCCTTGTAGAAGGCATTGGGTGCCCTTCTGTGTGCTACGGCAATCATGACACAGAGTATTGGTGTTCTGCAAGTTCTAGGAGAAGGCTGGAAACGGGTAAAGTGTTACGTAAAAATCACACTGGACTCTGTAGAAAGCTTTCAGTACTCATGACACACCAACAAAGACCTGCAGAGTCAGCAGTTCATGAGTCAGCCTTCTGTGGTTTTACAAAAAGTTATTTTGGTACTAATTCATTTGGCTGTACTCCTTTTGGATGGGAATAAAGGCAGGCTGCTCTCTTGAGCAAGGCACCAGAGTGCTTTGGCATATGGGCAGGAAAAAACGGCTGAAACAACACTTTTGGTTTTAAATCAAGCAGTGCTGCATGTTTTAGCCTTTTAAAACCTGTGCTGCAGCTTAAAAGCTTTATTTTTTAGATGGGTTGAACTACAGATCTCTTAATTACTCTCTGGTGAACAGCACTGCTTTGGGATGGAAACTAGTGATTGCTAATGGTGTAAATAATTTATAAAACATTACTTGCTAATAGTACCTGGGACTGATGATGGAAGAGGAACAGTGTGATCAGGGTGTGCATCCTGCACGAAAATCTGCAGGAAAGTGATTTTGAGGAGAAAATGCTCCATTTTGCAGTTACTTGTATCATTGCACRAGGTTGTATAAATGAAATCTTTGCTTTTTGCTGTCTTGACTTCTGTATGCACCTTCCTCAGCAGGTTTCTCCCAAACACATCTGGCTTTTTGGAGGTTAGGTTCTTTTGGTTTGTTTTTGTTGCTTTAGTTTGGTTTTTAATGTCAATAAATCTATAAGCTGTTTTCCAGATTATGCATTTAAAACSGAAAGTGCTGAACTGTAAAAGAGGAGTGTCCTGTTTACATTGATAATTGCATGATCGATTGAGCTTAAGGGCTTTAGCCTGGCTCCCATCTGCCTTTATTTTTCAGGAGTTTGAGAAAATACCCCCACATCCAGCCTAACCATAAACTTTGCTGTGAAAAACCTTTATCATGGCCATCAGTGCAGGAGTGGGCAGTGACGGCTGCTCTCTTCTGCTTCCTTATTTTATAAGGAAAAAGTGCCGGGGAGCGGGGGGGGAGAGGGGGGAGCCCTAGAGAAGCCCTGTCTGGGAGTATCCTGTGTGGGTGTTTCATTCCACGCTTGACCCACTTTACAGGCAGCACTGCTCCTTTTCCACTGCTGTGTTTGTCCTCGGGGAAGAGGAACACAGTCGGCTGCTGCTGGAGCAGGGACAATGCCCAGGGGAGGGGGTGCCACAGCTTCCTGGGAGAGAAAGACTGGTGATGGGTTCTGTTTGTCTGGTCATGAGTTTTATCAAGCTTTAGCTCAGCCATCTCAAAATGTTATTGGACTGTCCCTTTTCCCCCTGGAATCCCTTTTAAAAATGCTTTGAATGCTTTTAAAAATGCCTGACTTCTGAAGTACACAGTATTTATTCCCATGGACTTTGAAATCTCAAAGCAACTGATCGTTATCATCTGTGGTGTCAGAATCAGCCCAGAATCTGCGTTTTAGACTTTGAACAGCTCCAGCGCTGGAGAGCAGTGCCAGGCACCCCTGTAAAGCTAACCCAGTTCCCTTCCTCTCGTGCTTATATCAAGGATCTTCACAATTTTAGACGGTACTACTGAAGGTCGTTCTCAAGGCCACGTACAGAAAGTCGGCGCTTTTAATTTTCTTGGAATGCCCGGGATGGCATCTCAGCGGGGCTGAGCTCGCT